CAGTTCAAGGCATTTCTTTCCAAACCCAGGGCACAAGGACAACCATATTCTAGATCGTTTCCGTCCTCTGCTGGAAAACCTTCCGATGCTTCCTTTCCAGGTTCCTTCCCAAGCTCCTCAGCCTTGCTCCTCACAGGTGAGCTAGAGTCAGCGTGAACCTGCACAGCTCTCCCCAGCTCTGGGTTCAGGCCTCGCAGAGGTCACTTGAAAGATGCATTTACACCCCGGCGATTGGCAGCATGGCGTATCCAGGCCCCACCTCCTCCGGCCCTCTTTCTTTCATGTAGAAATGGCTCCTACCATCACCCTGTCACTCAGGCCACGCCTGAACACATCAAGCTCCTCCCTTTGGAACTTTGGTATCCTCAGGACCCTGGGCTGGAACACACCTGCCCTAGAAGCAGATGCTGTCAGTTCCCTGTTATCTGCCCTCGCTCTGACCCGTCCGTGCACACAGGCTTCCAGAGACCAGCTGCCAGGACCATATTTACACCTGGTCATCATCTGCTGCAAGAGTGCCAGGGAATAAAGGTGCCTGACCCTCCTACCACTATGTTCCCCAGCGAAGACTCCTCCCCCAGGAGCTGGTGGATGGAGACAGCCCAGCCCCCAGCCCCTCCTATGCGGCAAAGCAGAGATGCTTATACACGGTACTTTCTGGGCTCCTTGTCTTGTGTTTCATTTCCCCCTCTTCCAAAGGTTTCCTAAGGCCACCTTCCAAATAAACTTCTTGTATTTTAATTTCCATCTCAAGGTCTGCTTCTAGGAGACTCTCGACTAAGTCTAACCTCCCCTCGTCTGGCTCCTTTTTCCTCTTCAGGTCTCAGCTCACTGTGCCCTTGAACAAGCTCATCCTGGTAACCACCCGTCTCATGTTTCCCCACCCAATCCCAGGTCCTAAAACTGCCAGAGCTTGGTTTTGAACTGAGATCTCTCTGGCTTGAAGACCACGGACCCCCAAGGCACTGTCTCTGGGGTGATGGTGGGGACTTTTCAAAGGGAGGTTCTGAATCTGTATCTCTCCAGGGAGCCTGAGAATCCGTGATCTAGATATTTTTTTAATAAGTTTTCCCAGATGATCCTTATCATGGTAAATAGCCACAGAAGAGAATGCCCGGAGTGGATTAATGATAAATACTGTCCTTATAGTACTACTTTATCATTTAACTTACTACATACTTATTCATTCAGCAAATATTTGTTGAACCAAGAAGATAGTGCTTGGCAAGACAGGCCACTGAGGCTTTTATAGATACTCGTTTTTATGATTACAAAGTGAATTGATCTTTGTGGGTTTTGTTGTTGTTGTTTTGTTTTTGTTGGTCCTGAGGATTGAATCCAAATACACTTTATCACTGAGCTATATTCCTAGCACTTTCTTGTTAGTACCTGGGATTGAACCTGAGGCACTTAACCACTGAGCCACATCCTCAGCCCTTTCATATATTTTATATCAAGAGAGGCTCAGGCTGGCTTTGAAATCATGATCCTCCTGCCTCAGGCTCCTGAGCCCCTGGGATTATAGGCATGCACTACCACACCCAGCATAAATTGAGTATTTTAAAATTTTTAGTTGTAGATGGACACAATACCTTTATCATTTATTTATTTATTTATATGTGGTGCTGAGGATTGAACCCAGTGCCTCACATGTGCTAGGCAAGCACTCTACCA